TGCCCCCCCCCCCCTATATACGCTACGTGAGCCCAGGTATGTTTCGGCGGGAAGGTTCGAGATCTTCTCGAGCCCGCCCCTCTCCGGAATCATCTAATCCTCGTTGTTCGCTTTGTTGGCGCTTGCGAAGGAACCGTCCGCCGGAAGTGTATTCTTCGTTTTTTACATGCATCTGATGTTTGAGATTTTATGGGCACCATAAAGTCAGAGATAGCCTCCTGTTAGGCAGCTTTCGGCAGACCAGCCGGCCGCTGGTCCTTCCGGGAGCCGCCGCGTTTTCTGTCATTTATTATTCGCTGGTCTAGAGGAACCCGCGCACCTCAAGTCATAATTTCAAATTTGGTCTGGTGCATCTGTTTTGGCTCCGACAAGGAGTTCCTCGATGATTCCTGGCGAGGCTGTTTTACGATCGCTTCCTCGTGGAGTTTCCATGCGCCTTGAATGAGGGGTCGCCGTGTGTCTCATCCTCGATGCAGATTCGAGGAAAGCTGGCGAAATTCCTCGGAAGCTCCCATGATTTCCATGGAGATTATTCTTTTGAATTTCTTAGGCTTCGTTCGAGACCCTAGAAATGAGTTTCTCAGGGATTCTTCCGAAGTCTTTCGATGGTCTCCTGGCGTCTCTCGGAGCTCGACTTGTTCCCCTTTGTGTCTCTCTAGGCCCCTCTCTCGCCGGTATCTTGACAGTTTCCAGGGAACGGAGGCTCGTCCGCGCTTCTTGCTCGATGGTCTCCCGCCTCGGTGTCGCCAGAAGTCCCTCATCGTTAATTTATTTTTGCGAGGGTTCCCTCTATCCAGCATAATAATAACTTCAAGGCGTGGTTCTAGGTGGCACCGATCCTTATCCATCCCTGCCATCGCATTGTTTTTGTCATTCACTGTCGACGCGTTGCCTACTCGCAACAGTTTTAATCAGATTAGAGTCGGCTGATATCTCGCCGAGCGTCGCTCCGGGATGAGGAGAAGCGGAATCTAATTCCAAGCCGCTGCCGAAGTTCCTTTCCTCTCTCGGAAGCAATGGCTTCTTCTCGGTCTCTTCTCTTGTTTGAAGCAACGCTCCTGCGCGTAACCCGATCGGCGTGTCATCAGCAGAAGTTTTTCTCTAGCAGATTTCCCCCCGCTCGCTCCTCCTCTTCTCCGAGCTGAAAGTCTCGTCCCTGTTCCTACTGTTCCTCAATCTGTCCCCTTCCTCTCCCTCCTCACCACTGTCCTCAAATACGCCCGTAGGCAGAGGAGTCTGTTCTCTGAGCCAGAACCGACTGATCTCAGAGACGCCCGAGACGTTTCCATTGGGCGAAAAGAACGCCAGATGTGTTCAACGTCAACCCAGCTCCGGCTCTGAGCCACAATGATACAATACGATTCCACGGCCTGGAATCTCCTAATGAAGAGTATTCTGTTCACCTCTCTGGTGATGTAGGAGGAGCGGGGTAGCGATTTCACAATACACTTCTGTTTCCAGCAAAGGTTGCTGTGTACTACCGTGAGCCCCCCGAAAAATTCTGAGCACGTTCTCATTTTTCATTTCAGATAACTCTGCACGGCCTTACCGGTGATATTAGTTTCGACTCGCAGGGTTTCCGGTCCACGTTTCAACTCGATGTTATGTCTCTAAAAACCGATGGGCTTCAAAAGGTGCGAATCAGCTTGACACTTTGACGCTGTGATTTTACTTACATCAGAAGAGGAAAATGCACACGATATTGTGTGCATGGTGATGGAGCCCCGGATATCGACGAGATCCCGTAGTTCACCGCGAATTCCTCATCTGGTGAACTTGCGGAATCCACTTGCGTCAGCGACTATTCTGAACATCTGGGGCAATCTAAGGATCAAGAGTCTCCGTCGGTTCCGGAAATCGACCCGTCTTACTCTCCCCCTCTTCGGGGAGTGGAAGCCAAGTCAATGTTGGGCGACCGATCGCCCGCAACGTCACGGAAAAAGAGAGTTTCGCCCACGAGCAAACATTGAGCATCGGTTAGGGCGAACGCGCGCAGCAGAGCAGAACGAGGCGAAATTAATTTTCCAATCATTGGTGGGCACGCATCATGCGCTTGGAATCGTCCCGGTTCCAAGCTGAACGGTGTTCCTGTTCTGCGTTCCATTGCGCCGCCCTCGTTTGTTCTTTCCCTGTTCTCCTTCTGCCGTCCCCGTTCGGATCACCCGTTGAGCACGTGTTGCTCTGCGCAGTGTGTGTGTTTGTCCCGATCAGCCTGCCTAATTGTTTTTTTTCTCATTCTTCCCAGGTTGGTTATTGGAACCCCAAACAACGGGTGGTCGTTGAAGACAACTCAACGTCCGACTATGATTCCTTACTCATCAGAAACAAGACTCTCGTCGTCTCGACTGTGTTGGTAAGTATTCGTGCTTGTCGCCTCTGGGTCATTATCTGTTCCATTATCTCACGTCTGAATGTCGGTTCGTCTGGCTGGCTGCCTGCCTGCCTGCCTGCCTCTATGTCAGCGAATCAGTGAATGGAGACCGGACAAGAGTGACTCGTACGCGAGTTGATTTTTGCGACAAGCTTGTCTAGCGCGTCTCATTCGGAGTAATGTCGAAAGCCAGATTCGGAGTCACTGAAATGAATATCTGGAGACGATGGAGTACCGCATCGTTGTTTGCCGAAGGCGTATGAAACTGCGTGACGGTTCTGCAACTTGTGCAACAGAACACATCGCGCAGCCTCCATGAGCCCGAGAAAAAAAGGAAAGAAGCAGTCGATTGACGATCGTGTCGCTCGCAGGAATCGATTGAGAGAATCAATGAACAAACGAACGCACCAGCCAAGCAACGACGGCGGGGCGACTGGAGGTTCATTTGTTGCTCGCGAGAAGTTCGTCTTTTCGCTAGATCATTAGAAACGAATGAAGCCAATCGACGGCGAGGATGACTCCCTCTGGGCCTGCATGTTCGGTCTGATATTCGGGCTCCTACTAGAGCTGATCCTCTTGACAACGCCCACTCCCTGACTTCTCACGTCTCCGGTCGCCTCACGAACCCGACCGCCCACGGCCTCGCATTCCATCGCACAGTCAGGACGTCAGGGCTCGCTTGCGATACACGTGGAGCTTCTTCTCCCTGCCATCTTCTCCCTTGACATACTTGGACGCAGGAAATCGACTTTTTTTCAATATCATACTCGACGCGATTGATCTTGTCTCGCTCGTTATCGTCGGCGATGCCCCGTAATCGACTCGAAGAAGTCGAAGTTTCATAATCCCGCTCACAATCAGTTTTGCTTCCGCCATTCCCTCGTTGTCTAGCTGTTACCAGGCGACGGCACAACGTCGAACCGGCTGGCTGTGTCCGTTGCCTCCGGAAGCGAGTTTCTACGGCTGCCATGTGCAGAGACGTTCGGCGATTTCTTAGAGACTGCCCGGATTCCACTCCCGATATTTTCCGTGAGTGTGAGTGGACCTGCCGCGGGGATTCTTTCACCCGCTGTGTCGCTGATGAATGAGCGACGGAGCTAGCGGGAACATGGAAACAGCCATTGGTTCGGGATTTCCGGATTGACCCGACATTCTCCACCATCCCTCCGGCATGTATCGAAGCCGACAGATCCTGCCCCGAGACCAAAGCTCAGTACGCTTCTTGATTTCATTATAGCGAGTTTCGAATTCTCTTCTCGTTCCGAATGGGAACAAGGTCATCCTAACTTCTCTCGCTGCTCGGTAATTTATCTCGTCATTCCGTTTGATGTCCAAGTCTCTCCTCGAGATACCTGGAACCCGTTGGTCTCTTTGTTTCTCGTCGAGGTGGGCTGCTTCCGGACTGCTTCTCTGGGGTTCTGCTGTTCGTCGGACGCGAGCGTGTGTGTGTGAGTAAGGGAGTGAACGCGGAAGAAAGCGGCGACCAAACACTCCCTGTGGTGGTAGGAGGAAGTCCGCGGCTGGTTTCCTTATCTGGCAAAGTGGGGTCCTCATTCGTGTTCTCATACTTCCTGGCCGGAGCGCTGAACTAAGAGATGTTCTGTCCCAAGTAGAGACTCCTCCGCTTGTCTCTCCGATGCGCTGTGGTACTCTCACTCAGTGCCTCGAGTGGGAGCTATCTCCTATTCTTCGCTCGCATCTCCACTCTCGAACTTAGAAAGTCACGCCGCCGGTAGGTCCAATAGCGGCGCTTGTGGCGAACAGATGAACCAGTCGTTGATGATTGGAGCGATAGGTAGTCGGTCAGAGAAACAGACGAACCGAATGAACAAGGACTCGGCAAGAGACCACCAGAAGTAGGGGAAAGGAAGCGGTGGAGGGAAAAGACGAACGAACGAACGGAAGGAAGAATGAAGAACAAGTGAGAGCGAGGAGAGTAGAGGAAAAGGTGAGAACACATGAGCGCCTCTTCTGCTCTAGTGACGGCGAACAACGAGTCGCCGAACGGGGAGGAGAGCGAGAACGAAGGAAACGTCACAAGAAACAGCCTGGGCAGGGGAAGGTAATATGGGGCCGGCAGGGGGGAATAAAGGCTGTAACGGCGGTAGGGTGGGTTACCGGGTGAGCGGGCGAAGAAGCGGGCTGGCAATCGAGCGGACAAAGTTGGGAAAAGCAACGTTTATGAGTCGCCTGGGGCGCCGGTTCTCTAAGGAGAACTCCAACGAGCTCTTGTTGGAAAAGCAAAGAGGAAAAGACCACCAGCACCGACATCAGCAGCATCAGACCCTATCTCTTCAGGAAGTCCCCAAGTGCTGAGGACAGAAATATCGCCGCCGCCGCCGCTGCCGCCGCCCCCGCCACCACCACGACCGCACACAAGAACAACAGCACCTACACCACTTCTGCCGTCGTCACATTCCGACGCCGCCTCTAGCGTCTGCCGCTCGCGTGTTTAGCGTGAGCGAACGCCACAAGCTATCAAGCGAGGCGGACGGTCGAGGAGCGTCCGCATCTATTTTGTTACTTCCTCCTTCGGAAGCGATCCGCGACAATCGGTCGTCGTCCTCGTCGGCGCTTGTTGCAGGCCATACTGTTATAAGCGTTTTATTTCCCTTTCATTCGTGTGACCCCGTGGCCACGTATCCACCTTGTAAAGCCCCGACAGCTCCGTCTTCGGACGCCATCTGATCGCGCCGGCTGACAGCATTTCCTCAGCGTGGACAGGGAACGTTTCTACGGAAAAAGCGAGCCTTCCCCGCGATTCGCGAGGCCTAAGGTCGCGAGACCCGTTAGTCTAGTTCCAGACCACGAACAAGATTCTCATTGAGATACAGTGTAGTCCGTTGCTCTCAGGAATGACGTCTCCCCATCGCCGGCGTTGCTCTGACCGAGGACTAAACGCCTCGCGCATATATTAAGATAAAGGAGACGAGAACATGTTATGGGTCGACGAGCGAGCTGCCGCGCAACCTGCGTCTACTTCGCACGGCATCCGTCACCCGCTCGGAACTCTCACTGAATCACTCGCACGAAACCTCGGGAATAGGCCTTCGCTCCAGAGAGCGTCAGCCGTTGAGAGACCCTTCGAGCTCGGAGAGCGCCGACTGCGAAGAGTCAAGGAGAATAAGGAGGAATTGGAAGGAGGACAACGACATCGACGGCGACGATAAGTTGTCAACACTGTCGGCAGTCTGATAAGCTACGTAACATGACATCTAGCCTCCACCTCCACGAAAAAGCGAGAGCCGCAACGCGGAGAGACGGCCAGAGACACCCACTGGAGAAGAGACACAGCCGTCGACATGAGAAAAAATAAGGTGAAGAAGGTGGGTTCGAGATGTTTCCAGCCACCGAGCAAGCCAAGCCGTCACCTCCGTGCAGACACAATCAGACGTCTCTCTTCCGGACTATCCGACGTCTGCTCGGGGAAAGAGCGAAGCAAGACACACCAGTCGAAGGATGAGATAATCTCATCCCTCCTGCAGCCGACCTCTGCTCTTCTCCCTAAAGAAATTCGATGGGGATCAAAGGATCTCCGTTTGTTTCGTCAGCCCGCGTCGTCGTTGTCGCGCGCTCGCACGTGACCACCGGCGACTGCTCCAGCAGCATGCTCCTCATGGCATTAGCATCGCCATAGCGACCCGAGCGGGGAATATTTCCCCCTTGTCTGGCCCCTCCCTCAAATTTTCCAGCTCCCCTGCCCGTATTCCAGGCTCCAGAAAATTCGCCGATTCCTCCCCTCTCCCTTGTTCGATGTATCCTCGTCGTTATGACTTCATCGATTATAATGACAATCTAATTCTCCCCCAACTCCGGTGTCGGTTCGCTCTTTGGTTGGCGATCGAAAACGGGCGAATTCGTCCCTTTCCTCAGCTCGCTCGTAGACCTGGGGAGACGCAAATCAGACGGGAGTAACAAATCTACTGCGCGAATTGCGATCGCCAATCAACAGCGATAGAATCTGCAGATCCATTCATCTTCCGAGTAAACGCTCCACCGCAAGCGTCGCTAAATACCGATATCAGATGTCGTTTGTCGTTCTTATCACCAGCCGGCTGTTAGACGAAGTTCTCAGAGAGCCGAGTCTGACCCAGACAGCTTTGCGGACGTCAGGCGTCAATTTCAGAGATCCTCGTCGAGAGCCCCGGACATCCTGAGCGACTCCGTAGCGTACTCGCAGGGAAGCCCCCAGAAAATTATTCGTAACGGCGCAGCCCGCATCCTACTGGGATTTCGATTAGTCCCTCAGAGTGCAGGCTGTGAAATTCCACTTGGGATTGTCTAAAGCAAATAAAAGCAATCGACAGCATCACATGCAATCACGCTGATGGCGTTCTAATGAACAATCTGTTTTTACTCCGAGTTTTTGCTGCTCTGAACGAGCTCCTTCGCAGAGGCTGAGAGCTCAGTCGTTCCGGGTTTGCTCCCACGACTGCGAGCATTGAAACAAAAACGCCTCCTAATCAACTTGACTTGCTTTTGAAAAAGCAGCACGTCGATCAGGACCGAGAACACGCGAAGGAATTCCTCGCTAATAAGCAAATCCATTAATTCATATGAGTCTTGCGAGGAAATCCTCCTGTACTGTGGGGGGAACCGCCACGGTCTCCCCGTCTTCATCGCTGCCCGGAGAATATTCTTCCCCGGACAGGCTGATTGCTTCAAATCGAAGCGTCATCGTTTCCCGGGAGGGAATGAAGTCATGCCCAGTATGTGAGGTCGTGCTGATAACGTCGCAGCTCGCGTAGTCTTGAGCGGGAGTCGGTGAGCTGTTCCTGACGACGTTCGAGGCTAGTGATATTTTGCTGTGCCGCTGTCTCTTCGTTCGTCCGCTCGATTGTTCTCAAGTTCCATAAATTCTACTTAGGACACCGAGCCCCGGAGTCCCAGGCTAATAGGTGCCTTCAGAGCGAAAGGAGCACCGCAAAATAGGGGGACTCGCGGAAATAGGAAGTGGCGAGCAGCAGCGGAAAAAGACACACGTCGAGTGGCACAAGGGAGACCGGGAGTTGCGGGTAGTAATGTGTAAGTCACGAGGAACAGCGGGCGGCCGTCGCCGGTGCAGTCGAGAGCGACGACGCCGGCGCCGCGCCGGAGGTCCGGGTGGCGGCCACGGGAGCTCCGGATAGCGGGACTAGGAGGGGAGAGAGAAAATCTAGATCCGGGATGAGGGACGGGAGAGGGATAAGGAAAGCAGGAGACGAAAAACAGGACGAGTCGGTCGAGTTTCCCGGCCGGCCACTCGCTCCCCCGCTCGCCCGTCCATCCGGCAGCCCGTCTACCCGCATTGCATCCTAGCAAACACTCCTGCAGAACTGGTCCACTCTGTCACAATAAAACTCGCGCGGGGACCCCGGGGAGTCCAAAGTAATCTACGCCGTGGAACAGTGAGCGTCGGGCGAAACTTTCTCCAAAAACGTCTTTCCGGATGACGTTCTGAGCAGACGGGGTACTGCCGACACTTCGATGCGAAACTTTTTTCCAACCGAGCAACCGGTCTAATAGTCACGCAGACATCTTCGAGTCGCGTCACAACCTGCAGCACCGTTCATCTAGCCTGCGTCTGTTCGTGGCTCGAGTGATTCGTCCGGTCGTGCGAGCTCGTGGGCGGACGTAAACTTTGTCGGCCACTGCGGAGGCACCGTCGCTAACGGAATGTTCGAGTTGCACAACCGTCGATTCGTATGCTCCCCGCTTATAACCGAAAAATATAGTTTGACTGGTAGAACGTCGAGGCGTGGGGAAAGTCTCGTATTTTTCCACGAGATTGATTGAATTCCCGCTCGCAAAAACAAGCCAGCTAGTTTTTCTCACACGCGGCGCGAGCGGCTTGAATGACTTTCGACTCCCCCGTGCCGCCCCACTGGAACCTCCTGCGTACATTTCCACTTATTCATTTCTCGGCGAGCTTTTGTGTTCCCTTATGTTACGTCTCCCTCTTTTATTTTTATCCGTTGCACTCTCATCCAATGCTCGTGGAACAGAACAAGAGTTGAGCCACAAGGACCGACCGACAGACAGACATCGAGCGCATCGACGAGAGTAGAGGAGCGAGTCGCCTGACGAAATTCCACCGCTTGATGTTCGACGGATACCTCTCGTATTCTTCCGGTGTTCATAGCTCTGATATTTCGAAATTCTCAACTACGAGTTGGCTGTAAAAACTCTAAACTCCCCTCTCTTTATCTTCAGACGGATCCGTATATGATGCTGAAAGAGTCTGCCCATTTCCTAACGGGCAACGAGCGCTTCGAAGGTTACTGCGTTGACCTTCTACAAGAGCTGAGCAGAGCGCTTGGATTCAGTTACGAGATCCGACTCGCGGCTGATGGTGCCTACGGCATTAAGAATGACAGTGGTTACTGGAACGGAATGATAGGCGAGGTGGTATATGGCAAGGTAAGCAGACCTTCAAGGTCGATGCCGATCTATGGTGACGGATGCTCATTCCTGTTCATGAGGAGCGGGGATAGAGCGAGGACTGAGTCTTCATCACGAGCTAAGCTCGCTTCCACTTATTTCCCTAGCGTCAGACAACTGAGACCGATCGATTATCTTTTCATTTTTTTCAGGCTGATCTAGCCATCGCCGATCTGACAATCACGTCGGCGCGAGAGGCGGCAGTGGACTTCACGATGCCCTTCATGAACACCGGCATTTCGATCTTGTTCAAGAAACCCACTCAAAAAGCCACCTCCTTGTTCGGTTTTCTGTCTCCGTTTTCCACAGAGGTCTGGACATACGTAGTGGGCGCATATTTGGGCGTGTCATGCGTGCTGTTTCTGGTTGGCCGCATGTCGCCCTACGAGTGGGACAATCCTCATCCATGCCGCCAGAACGACCAGGTGCTGGAGAACAGTTTCTCCCTACTGAACTCTATGTGGTTCACTATCGGTCAGTGCTTTAGCGAGTGCATCCTACTATGACAAATATGACAAAGGCAAAATTTGACAGAAGTGGATCAACAGTGGGCCGTCTAGCCATCTGTTTGTCTGTCGGCCCCGCGTTCCGCCGCCGCCGCCTTCCTTCCGGGCCGTTGGAGCAGAAGGAGGCGCTGACGCATTGCCTGAGGTTGATTCGTCTTTCGCTTGCAGGATCTCTTATGCAACAGGGATCTGATCTTGCCCCGAAAGCCATGTCCACCCGAACAGTCGCCGGTATCTGGTACTTCTTCACCCTGATCATGATTTCATCATACACCGCCAATTTGGCCGCTTTTCTCACAGTCGAGAAGACAGTCTATCCAGTCGAGAGTGCCGACGACCTCGCCAAACAGACTAAAATCAAGTACGGCTGCGTAAAATCAGGCAGCACCCGCGCCTTCTTCAAGGAGTCCAAGATCCCCACATTTATGAAAATGCACAAATTCATGGAGGAGCTCAACACATACGTCGCCACGTCAGCAGAAGGCAAACAGCGAGTTAGCCAAGGGTGAGCAAACCAACGCAGCGTAGCCGACCATTCCTAGAGCGAACGAATCTAATTGGATTGATTTCACTGAGACGAGTTGAGAGTCGCTTCTCAGAATTCCTTTTCGAGACTATTCTCAAGTCGTTCAATTCAATGCCAATATTCCAGCGACTATGCGTTCCTCATGGAATCGGCCTCGATCGAGTTTCTCGTCGAGAGAAACTGCAATCTAACTCAAATCGGAGGCCTGCTCGACAATAAAGGATACGGGATCGTCACCGTCAAGAACTCCCCCTTCAGGTCGGTTGGGAATCGGCACATCTGTGTTTAGAGAAACCCTCCTCGGATTTGTTGGCTCCAGACAGACAGACAGACAGACAAACAGACCGACGGACAGACCGGCTCACGGGCTGACTTGCCAGACTACATGCTAGCCGGTCCATTTCACCTGATTTTTCTTCGAGCGAGTAGGCGGCGGCGGACGGAAGCATCGGCAGCGAGAGCTCCCGCGAGGCTCTAGTCGAACTCCTCTTCATTTCACGAGTTTACTGCTCCGCGGGGAAGCGCTACGTTGCCCCTTCCGAACAACGTTCGTTTGCCGCGGCCCACCGACCGGCCGAGTGGCCAGCCCGCTCAGCCGTCTGTCCGGCCGTCAGCCCGTTCGCTTGCGCTCCGAGTTCTCAGTCTTCCTAGCGATCCGCCAGGACTGGTTCTGTAGGACTGTCGGTCTGTCCGTCCGTCCGCGCTCTCGCAGGCGCTGGTAGTCACTCAGTCAGTCAGACAGTGAGTGAGTCGGTTGTTACACCTCGGCGCTGCGGAGAGAGCGAGCAACCAACCAGCCAGCCAGCCGTGATAGGTACAGAGCGGTAGAGGTTTGAGAAACTAACGCTGGCGCTGCTTTGGATTCCAGACAAGTCCTGTCGTCGGGCATCCTGCAATTGCAGGAGGCTGGCAAATTGCACAGCTTCAAAGAGAAGTGGTGGAAGGAGCGAAAAGGAGGCGGCAAATGCACCGACGATACCAAAAAATCATCGGCAGTGACTGAACTTAGCTTAGCCAACGTAGGAGGCGTCTTCGTAGTCCTTCTTCTCGGTTTGTTACTGGCAGCGTTGGTTGGCATTGCTGAATTCTTGTGGAAGGCGAGGTCTCTCTCCAAGGAAGACTCCCAGGTACGCAATGCAGGACCACGAGTTCCCCCATTCTCCTCATTAATGCTATCCATGGAGGGTCGATAGATCAATTCCTCATTTCTGTCGTCGGAAACGCTCCAAAGCAGCATTCAGCAGCGATCGTCTGCTTTCATGTCTCTAACCAACTCAAGTCCCCGCCGCGAAACTCATCTGTGTATACCACGCTAACCCCGGTGCCGTTTGCAGGTCTCAATATGCTCGGAAATGCTGAAGCAACTGAAGTTCGCGGTTTCGTGTAGGAGCTCTACTATGCCCGTGCGCAGCAACCGGCAGACCCCGGAGTTAGATCCGATGGACGGGAACAACCACACGCAGTACGGCATTTCCACACTGCCCTCGTTCACGTCTGACTTCTGAGTGTACGCGATCCGGCCGGACGGCGGAGGGCCCGTGCCCGTCAAATTCGACGATAAAATCGCTCTCGAGCTGATGGCGGCCGCAGCAGCGAACGCCAACACCACCGACGGCCCGCCCTGGAAATCTTGAAATTTTTTCGGCGACATTGCCTGATGGTGACCAGTGGGCGAGCCGAGCTCAAAACGCAGCAACTTAGGCTAAAATTCATTGCAAAGCAATGCCGGAGCGGCCCGGGCCCTGTCGGGATGAGCGAACAGTGCACGACCCAGGAATCAATCCCGACTGTTCGATGAAGACCCATCCGATCCCTCTCCCGGCCGAATGATTCGAGCGAGCGCTCCCGAAGATCGATCTTGCATTTGAGGAGGCATTTCGAACGCTCGAAATTCACCGATGGATCCGGAGGCACTCGCCTCGGAAACTCTCGGCGGTATTCGCACAAAGCGCACTATGAACGAGTTGAACAACGGATTCCTGCTCACGCATGGTGGACAGTCAGAATAAACGAGCGTACCCACGGGTAGAGATGTTGGCACTGATAGGGTGTCGACCACCCGTATCTGAGTTACTCGGTTCACTCTTGCCCGCCAGACTAGAAGTCGTTGTGAGTTAAGTGTCCGCTCCGAGAATGAGAAGAAAGAGCGAGACGCATACACGATTCTCAGTGTAGAAGCACATCTGACCATGAACAGAAAGCGTGAAGGATCAATGAACTCGTTCCGTGAGGATCGTGGTCCTCGAGCAGGCAGAACACGAATGCTCGAGCGGGACCTGTTACCCCGAGCCGCTGCCGTCGACCACAACGACAACAACGGCAACATCAATCGTGGGAACAAGAACAACAACGCCGGGAAAGTTTTCGAGTGCGAGCGGATCCAATCGGAAACGCAAGTTTCAATCGGGGAAGACTCTTTGCTCCGCATTCATGTCTCCAGCGTCCTCGAAACCGCCGTCCGCTGCGCGATGCCTCAGACGCAAAGCAAACACTCAGTGAAGGAGCACGTAACAGCTTTTACGCACCGAGGATGAACGTTGCCGAAGCACAAAAGGCAATGAACTACGTGATTACAGCAAAAAACCCGAAGAAAAAGTTGGCTGGCCAAACTCAGAGCAGTTCTTCAACCGTTATGTACATACATGAACAACCAGACTCATTCGAAGCAGACTAACCTGAACACTCACGACAACCTGAACCAGTAATACATACGGAGTGTGTTGGACAGAACAATTACGAAACAAGGACGAGAGACCAATATCCGAGAAGATGACGATGATTATAATAATGGTGATGGTAATGCTGATGAAGATTTTCAAGATGATCACGAACCCATTTGCTCAACCTCAACCCAGCCAGCACACAACGACAATTCCCAACAAATACTAATCTAAGCAACCAACCAACCACAAAAACAACCGAAAAAGCGATCAATCAATACTTCGATGGTAAGAGCGATCGATTAACTGATTGATCGATTCTTCCATCTATTCGTCAAACGATGAAGATTCCCAAGCGACCTTCACTCAATAGTTGGCCGAACCGCCAACTAGCCAGAACTGACCGGAACAACATCCAATGATTAAAGCCCACAATCGGAACGTAATTGCAAACTCGCGCAAGAACGCGGTTTGCGCAAGAGACATCGGAGATAGGACCCATCAACATCGATTTTCGAAACTCTTCCGAGCAACCGGTGATAGCCAGCAAACAGTTCGATCAAGTCTTGCTTCGCCCGTTGCTTCGTTTGTTAATTTCTGTGACGACGACGATCATCACCACGCCACCGTCACCCACGACTCGACGTTGTCGGAGGGAGAAGCCGGCAACAAGAAGGATCGTCACGTGTGGAGCCACGAAAGAGCCTCGTCCCCTATATCATAGTTTGGCGATACGATAAGTACAGAGTAAATAATAATGTTGAATTGTCAAAAATTTAGGAGCAGCATCATAAAACCACCTTGTAATGCTATAACTTTTTCATACGAATCGAAGCTTTTCTTAACAAATGACTGACTCACTCAAGCTTGTTCAAGCCAAATAGACATATGTAGAGAGCATCAGCTACTCACGGTTCGAGAGGAATGCTCCAGCCTGTTTGACGTACTGTACGTCTGATCTGTCCTCGATCACCCGAGCAGAGAGGATGACCTTTATGCGGTTCATTTAGATGTTGATTTCGTCATCCGAATGGTTGAATATTGATTGATGCGTTATTGAAAATATTGCCGATCGACTCACATTAACATGTGACAATGTTATTATTATCATTATTATACTATTATTATCATCATTCACCATTAAGTATGGTATACATACCTCTGATATGGTATTATTGAAAGAGAGAAACGAGAGAGAGGAAACTATTATTGATACTACAACCACTATTGGGAAGGATACTGTGTAATGCTGGCTTTACGACTGAACTTTCAGAAAGGTCTGAATTCTCATCTCCCTCGAGATGTTGGCTCGAAAATGACTCAAATATCCTTGGTTGGATCTTTCCACCTCGCCCGCTCTGGGAGGATAAACCCCGGGTCCCGTTGAATCGGAATCGGATGTCATGGTGATATGTCATTCGGCGGAAGTAGCTCGGAATCTCTCCGGCTCATCGGGACTCGCTTAAAACGGTGACAAATTGTCTGATCTGTTGACGAACGCGTCGAAAATACGAAACTTATGGACTCGTGAAGCCAGGATGAACCAGCCAGAGCAGCCTATCTGAGACAACAATTCAACAAAATACTCGAGTGAACATCACTCACGAACGGTTCTACTCGGTCAGAGTGACGCTACATCTCTTCATCCCTTCGGAGTTCCGATGCGAATCGTCTACCAACGGTTTGCGGAACAAGCTTCCTCAATAATTACGGAACAAGGTTTTTCACGAAGATGCGGAAATTGTCTCATGAGTATAACGGCGGTGGTCACAGGAGCAGTAGGGGCTTTTCGAAAACCGTGACCCCGAGAAGCGGAATTATCCAGGAATCCATCCCCGAGATCGGTCTCGGGGATTTCCACATCATATGATTAAGATTGCGACAACACCTCATTTGCCAAGGGCTCTTTCGCCTCTGTCAATGGCTATCGCGAGATGTTCATCGGTTTCGCGGCACTGAGTTCCGAAGGGCTCCGGAGTCTGTAGGGCTTGAAATGCTGAAAGCAGCTATCGACATAAGAGCCTCGAATCACGGCAGGGCTCTCTCATGCTGAGCTCCACGAGAGTTGTGAACTCGCTCGACTTCGCCCGAAGCTCGAACGCCGAGCAACTCAAGTGTCTGAACTGAAAGGCATGGATGTGGATCGGTTGATTCGAGTCGTGCCTCGGTTATTTCCCCCTTCACTCAGGGTCATCGCTGACCCCTCCGCGAGCACTGGTTCTTTGAAATCGCAATGATTTTCCTGCGAGATGCGGCTCTCAAACTATCGACGGGTTGCCAGATCGGCTCCCTTGAACGGTGCGCTCGATTCACTTCGAGGCACCATCGAACAAGTGCGATGTCACACATTGGCTGTTCCAATTTACTGAGTTCCAGCTCGACGGGCCTTGTCGTCGGAGCAAGCAAGTTCTTCCGGTCCTGAAGACTCCCATCACCGCAGATCGTGGCCGAAAGGATGACTTCAGGATTCCGAGCAGAATACACGGCACCAGAATGACATCTAGGTAGAGAAGAGAACCCTTCACTAGGCCTCTGAGCTCGATCGCAGGGTTTGGAACACAGCGCACCAAAACAGAAATCAGTGGCCCAACACTTTTTTTCTCCCTTTCGCATCGGAGCCCTGAACCACTGATATAATTGTACAACATACAAATGATTCTATCACTGTCTGTCTGTCTGTCAATCAATGAATCAATCGATCTATTCATATTTTACTCCATCTCACCAAGAAGCATCTATCGAGTGCGGAAAATATATTTACCCACAGTATGACATGCTATACGACTAGAAGGACTTCTTTAGTCAAAATCCAAAACAAAACAAAATAAAAAAACGCGAAAAATCTCGTGCAAGCGATCGAACCAGTTTCGGAACGACGATCGGACGGACGGACAGACGAACGGACGAACGATTCGCCTGGTCGACCGCAATGAGCACACTTCTGCAGCACTGACACTATTCTATCTCTTCTTTGACTTTCACTCAACACCTTATTACCATCCTTCAATCATCGCTACGACAACTGATGCGAGAAAGGAACCTAGTCAGTCGGTCGACGATTATCGAGCCAATCGGGAGCGAACAACTCCGGTCGACAGCTGGTGCATATTTCGCGATAGCCGGACCGGGAACGAAACCATTTCGACTCACGTGCCTTTCCCGACTCACCTGGTCCCCGCCTGTGGCCTCCATCTTCGAGATGGTGTACGATTCCTGCTGCAATCCTAGAGAATTACTCACAACAGCGAGCGTACTCTACAGATTACAGCATGGAGAGACGCTTCGAGAAAAGCTGGAAAAAACGAAAGCTTTGGGTGAAACACGACTGTAATATCGGGAATTCCTCGGGTGTCCTGATTTCGGACTGCTTGATGTTGGATTTTGTGCCTCCGGAGGCTGTTAATGTCTCTGTACCCACCGCCACGATATGCTCATCATTTCCGAATGACGATGTAATCTAACTTCTTCGGCTCAATGCTATACCTACCTCTCATTCACCGAGCTTTTCTCTGTAAATCTGTCTATCAGTCGGCAGTCAGTCAGTCACTCAACTACTAGCTTTCACGGTGTAGACGCGACAACCGCAAAGGATTCCGCTCGAGTAGAAAACGACATTTGGAACTCTTGAAACTAGCAGCGAGCTCCCTCCTATCCGGGACGACACGCTGCTCCGCCAGGAGCTCTAAGTGATGGCACATCCATCGCCTCTCGAGTGGTCTGCGCGGCGCGAATAGGGGATTTTGTCGAGTATAGCTCACCCTTATCCGAGTTTCTATGATTTTCCACAGCGTTTATTTAGCTCCAAGACTGATATTGTCAGTGACGAAGTTGAGCACACCAAAGCA